TGGATTTAACTGGATTTCAAAGAGAAACATGTTTCTAATAGATTTGCTTGACTAGTGCTTCTTTACCCTAAGCCCATGAATAGTACCATCATTGCTTGTAAGCTAATGGAAATTGGAAAGTACTATCTCTTGGTCGTTTGTTTCAGATTAGTGAAGATTGTTTGTATATAGATAGATGCCACAAAATGTGTTGAGAAGACGACAATTTTAAGACAAGAGGAACAACATGAGCAAAACAAATACAATTTGGTTTCATATGGACAAACAATGGATATGGTAAATTAGCAATTTAACCACTGTCATTTTATTTTTGGAAAACCAAAATGTGTGGAACAAAAAGAGTCGTCTAAATTTCTAAAACAGCCTCCAAGAAATCTGGAATTTCTTCGTGTTTCCGGTAAACAACTTACAGCTACAATTTTATTTTTGATGTTGTTGGTCAATAAAGAGTAAAAGAATATTATAAAGAAGGCTGAGATGCAGACCCCATCGATGGCTGCCTCCACTACTTTCTACTACCCAATCCCCAAAAGTTTCCTTCTTCCTCCTCCTTCCCGTAGCAAACGAAACCCTAACTTCATCTCTTGCTCCACCAAACCCATTTGTTCTCCTCCTTCTCCTTCGTCTTCTTCCTCTTCTCTGCAAACGACGACAAACAATCGAAGGCAGAAGCAGAATCTTCGCCGACCTCCTTTCGAGGATTCGTTTCTTCTTTACCAATTCAGTTCCCCGACCGACGATCCAGGATTCTCTAACCGGATCTCCGAACGAATTGACGAAGAGCCGCGCGAATTGGTGCTTCCGAAAGTAGAAGGCAACACCGGCTTGGCAATTTCGTCGAACATGTGGTGGGCAGATCTGAAAGCGGCTATTGGGCAACGAATCAACGTAGAGGGTATCGTTTCTTCGGTTTCTGTAGTTGTTAGAGATCGGAATTTGGTTATCCCGCATGTTTCTGTGAAGGATTTGCGGTACATTGACTGGGGAGAGCTGAAGAGAAAGGGCTTCAAAGGTGTAGTGTTTGATAAAGATAATACCCTCACGGCTCCTTATTCTCTAGCGATTTGGCCACCACTCCGGGCTTCGATTGAGCAGTGTAAAGCCGTTTTTGGCCATGACATCGCCGTGTTTAGCAATTCCGCTGGTAAATTTTGGATAAAGTTTGAGTTTTTCTGTGTTTGGTTGGTTGTAATTTTCTGGTTGATTGAAGAAGCTAACTTTTTGGTGAAAAACTAGGGCTTACGGAATATGATCATGATGATTCGAAAGCTAAAGCATTGGAAGCTGAAATAGGGATTAGAGTGTTGAGACACAGTAAGTTCCTTGATCTATCTACTAATGACTCTGTTTTATTCTCTTGGTTTAGAGCATTGTAACTGATAAAGGCTGTTTTTGATTCATGATTATAGGAGTAAAGAAGCCTGCAGGAACGGCTGAAGAAGTTGAGAAACACTTTGGTTGCACATCTTCGGAGCTAATCATGGTAACTTAGTTATAATGAAATGTTTAGGGGTGAAACTGGAATTTGATTCTTGGTAGATGAGATGTTTATGTGTTGTGTGTTTTGGGGCAGGTGGGTGATCGACCCTTCACAGATATCGTTTACGGGAACAGAAATGGATTTTTAACCGTATTAACCGAGCCTTTGAGTCGAGCTGAGGAGCCTTTCATTGTTAGACAGGTTCGTTTTTGTCTCCCCTTGCTTTACACTACACTTCGATTCACAGAATGGATATTTAGAACTTCGAATTGCCTGAAACGTGTGTGTAGTATAGCTAAATGGAGTTGTTTTACTTGATTGCAGGTGAGAAGATTAGAGCTGGCCTTGTTGAAACGTTGGTTGAGAAAAGGTTTGAAGCCTGTGCATCATAGTTTGGTATCTGATGTAACTCAGTTTGTTAAGGATCCATCAGATTTGTAAGAAGGAATCTCAGTTTGCTAAAGCTACAACTTTGTTCCCTCTCTTTTTTTGTGTGTGTAATGCAAATTTTGACTTTTTGGGTTTTGCCAAATGCATGAAGATCAGTTTTTGCTCTTCATTTTCTCTTCAGGTTTAACCACATTTTGTCAAACGAATGAAGTAAAGCAATTCAAATATGTTGCTTTAGATAGTCCGTATTATAACTTCGAATTGTCAAACGAATTTTAGTGGTATTTTTGGATAATTCAGTTTTCGTATTAGTGGTAATTTTGGAAATATCAGTTTTAGTGGTGTTTTTGGAAAATTCAGTTTGTGGTAGTTTTGGAAATATCAGTTGTAATGGTAGTGGCATTTTTGGAAATATCAATTTTACTATCAGTGGTACTAGGAGGATCTTTTTCTGCTTCGGCTGCCAGAGCCGTGAACCAGACGAGATGGTGCTCCGCTCGTCTCTGCTCCTTTAAGTTTCTGAGCGTCCAGAGCGTCGGCTTCATCCATCAGCATTGCTAACTGCTCAACACACGATACAATAGGTTTCAAAACCAAACAGAAACACAATATCCATGACAGAGTGAGCGTGGTTATGAGGAGAATCATACCCGGATCTTGTTTTCCCTTACCCTATCTTGAAGTGCGTTAATGGCGGGACTCAAGCTGCCAAAAAACAAAGAAAATGAAGCCTAGGTATGTAAAATCGCAACAAATGACAAAACCTCGTGTGTTCAAATGTTTGTAACTAACCAGTATTCAATCAGCTTGCACATTGAAGCCTGATATGACGATGTGTTGTGAATGAAGGCAAGGGGATGTACTTTCCCGGCTCTAAAGAAGAAACATAATGAGCTTTTTGCACCAACTCTCTATGATGTATAAAAAGACTTGAGAGAGTCGAAAACCTGGTGCTTTGCAGGAGAGAGTGGTGGTACGCTGCTCGTTCCTCCTCGTAGAGAACTCGTTGCAGATCCTTAAAAGATGCTAAAGGTGAATTGAGCTGAACAAGGGATGAAGTCGGCAAAACATGGAGAGGGACTTCTTTTCTAACATATCCATCACCGCTGCACGTTACATCATTTTTAGATGAATGGAGCAATGTTGTCTCGTAAGCCCAAATGCGGATGTTGAGAAATACCTGGTTTCCAAATTTGAACGGAGCATAGCCTCTTGCATGCTTTCAGACATGTCCATTGGATCAATCTCCACAACTGAGCTGCTGAGATTGCCTTCACTTGTCCTATCTCTCCCGGTCGTCATGGTGTTGGCGTCAGCATTGTTAACAAAGAAATCCCCAAAATCTGAAACTCGTCCTCCACCCTTACACACATACAAGGCTCAAACATCAATGTGTATATATATATATATCTAGCAATGAATATTAAAAATTTGAAAACTTTCATTAAACTCGAGTGAAACAGTATAGTTTTTTTGCAAAAGAGAGAGAGAGATTCAGACCTTAGATGCAGAACTTGTAGCAGTGTCTTGGACAAAATTGTCTCCACGAGCAGAAGAGTCTGAAGAGCTTAATGAGGATTCTAAATCGATGACAGGAGCTTTATTTGCAAGTATCAGCCTCAATGGTTGAGGAGGAGTATTGGGGTTTCCATCAGAGGACTGGAAGGCGATAACTTGGATTCTACCAACCTATTATCCAAATTCATCCAACAAGTATAATCCAAGCTGAGAAGAACTTTTTCTTGCAAAGTTTCCTTTTTTCCAATGAATAGATACAAGACTAAGTCACTAACCTTGTTTGCATCTTCACTGAAACAAGAAAATATGAGGCCAATAAACCCAGTATCTAAAAGCTGATACATTGCTTGTGTCCGAACATCTGCAGCAAAAGCAAGACATAGATATGCGAGTCAATCCTAAAAGAAAGAAAGTAGCAATGATGATACATTGATACTTGATCGTATTGTTATACATACCAACATGGGAAGGAAGTACAGTGATATGAGGATGGGAGTGGTACCATCCTATCACCCTCGTTGTTCTGCCCGTTGATATGCTCATTCTGTGCCAATGTTAGTCAAGGAACATCACACACACCAAAAAGAAAAACACTCTTTTTGTTTCTAAGTTTTAACCAAATCAACGTATCTAATAGTAATATACACAAAGAAAGAACATTGCTTTACTTTCCTTTTCTGATCAAATCAATAGAAAACGAGTTTAGCAACATTTTTGAAAAAAAAAAAAATTGAAGGAAAAGGATATATCAGCCATAGCTGAAGCAGCAGCCAACTGTTCAGGACAGGTTTCTACTCGATCCTTCTGCCTATCAGACCGTGACTGAGGCGATGCTCCCCATATCACAGCTGTCGCACTTCCGCTTTTTGAGTACTAATTCACAATTATGAATGACAAAATTTGGACCCATTTCTCAAAATATTCACTGAAGCTAGACTTGTATAGAAAATTCAAAAATAAAAGAGTGTGAACCTCGATGTCGCCGAGGAGGAGACCCATGATTTCTTCGGTCTCAGTGGACAATGCGTGAGTAAGGCAAGTCAACCAGACATCCTCGGACATGTTCACGCGTGTCAAAGACATTTTCCCGCGATATTACTTCCCCGAATTCTTCGATTTTTTCTCTTTAGTGCCTCTCTCTCTCTCTCCCTCCCTAGATTTCTCGGGCCAAACCGAAGAGGAAGAAGAGGTACAGTGTGTTAAAATTTTGCTCAGGGTTCCGATCACTGAGATTTATACAGTACGCGCAGTGTACGGTGTTCCCAGTCACTCCTCAGGTCATCCGGACCGTCTATTGATTTGAAATTTTTGAACTGTTTTGACTTCTTTTATCTTTCTTTATTTTTAAAATCACTCTGTGGTATTTTTGGAAACGTCAGTTTTAATGGTATTTTTGGGAAAAAAAAAACAGTTTTAGTATTAGTGGTACTTTTGGAAATATTAGTTTTAGTATTACTGTATTAGTGGTATTTTTGGAAAGATAAATTTTAATGGTATTTTTTAAGGAAAAATTAGTTTTAGTTGTATTTTCGGAAAATTCAAGCATGTTCCTTTGGAGTCAAAAAGATATATCACAGCTTTCAAAGTGAGATCTTGAAAATCTGTCAGCAACTTAGCCCATATGAGATTCAAACCAGCTAAAGATTTGTTCAGACTGCAAGCTCGTCATTTCATGATACGCAAATGCAAGATTCAGCTCTTCTTCAACAGGAGTAACCAAGCTTTCCTCCAGTGATATCTTGTACCCACTCAGAGCTTGCTTCCACGGTGTTCTCCTTCCATCACGCTTCATGTATCCCTTCTCATCAACAAACCCCTTCTCTCGAAACAACTTGAACAGTTTAGCCGACACACCCCGATCAAGACCAGGAATCCTATCCGCCAAGAAACCAGGAGAAAGCGGCAAATCCATGCATTCAATCTCTGCAGCATCAACACCTTCCATTCTCAAACCTTCCAAGAACTCTCTGATCTTCTGTTGTCTATACACATCTTTAGGCATGTGCACAAAGAGAGTCGGAGGATACTGTTTACTGATACTAATCTGATCAAAGACTCCTTCAGCGATCATAAGCACAATGCTACTAAACTTCAAATCCGTTGCAAGAGCAGAGACGAAGTAGCCACCAGATGAAGCACCTAACGCCACGAGAGGAAGCCTTTCGTGCTTGTGCTTCTTCACCCACGATTTGATCACATTTTCAACAACAAGCTTCTCCTTCCCCAACGACCAGCAAGTTCCAGCACTGGATACAGTTAAC